TAAGAGATAAATGAAAACTATCCATCAACACTTAAAGCAAAATCCATCCACCATCCGCAACAGTTTGTCGAGGTGGACAAATTTAAATAAACTCTAGCTCACAAAGAGCCAAATGCCTAGTCGAAAATATCACTAGGATCCATTCTCAAACAATCTCCTGCCAGTAAGGACGTGGTACGTGTCCTCTAACCGGCGGTTCGCCGCCAAATGGCACTGCAGGTAAACGGTTATGACCAGGGGCCCTCTGAACCGAGTGGTTTTGCCGCCAAATGGCACCACGAATGCGGTTATGGCCAGAGCCAATATGCTCCTTAATGGCGTTAAATCCTTGAGATATGAATCAATAGGATTATGATCGATAGGGCACAAAGCCCTCTGTAAGCTAAGGTGGATTAAAATTTGTCCTCTTAGACAAACATTCAACCCCGGTCTATAAGGTTCCTTTGGACGAAGCAACCCATGGCTGCCGACAAGGATCATTCTGTTAGGTTGGGTCGACTACCTCCTCTGACTAAGTAGACCAGGGACCACGATGGCCCGGGACGACGAAACCATGGGATTCTTGATCGGGTCTATCATCCATTCCCCCACCATCCGCTTTAAGTTCAAGATTGTGAAATTTCTATTTTAAATACTAAACCTTTTAAAACCATCAAACATCCAAATCTTCAAATTTCCAAAATTCCTAATCCATGCTGCTACTATATGCCAGATAACACGTATATTCTACATATCTGATCGACGACTAGCCTTAACGAAAGTTCTCTCTCGTGATCCAGGGAGGGGTAATTAACTATAGGGGCTTGCGCCTATAGGAAACCAGAACTCAGATCATAAAGTCCTCGCAAAATGAGGGCGAAATATCTGGGTAGTGTCTTATCTACAAACCCATCTGCCTTCCAAAATTTACCTCGGAACCTATATCAGTTAAAACTCCCTCGCCGAATGAATAAAAAAGAAATCGCGCGGCGTGGAGGCCGGGGCCGAATTTTCGGAGCCCACATTATTTTTATCGAGCTTATTCACGAGTTCAAAATCGAACATGAATCGAGCTTTTATTGAGCTTCTTATCGAGCTTAATGTCTATCTTGTTCACGAACTTCAAATGATGTTGTTCGCGAACATAAATGAGCCAAACTCATTAGTGTTCAAGTTTGTTTATTTAAGAATCAAGTATTTAAAATATTGTTCAAGTTTGTTTGTTTATTTAATTAAATGATCGCAAACAAGCTTTAATCAAACCGAACAACGAGTAGCTCGCCGAACGTTTGGTTCGCTTGCAGCCTTATTCTTGACTGCATAACCAAGCATAACCGCAAAGACATCTAGTGCAATCTATTGCCAAATAGAACAAAGCCAACAGGCAGAGTTGCAAACAGAGACTTTGCTATAGAACAACAACAATTTTTAGGCCAGATGATAGAGAAATAAATACAACTAGAGACTCCAAAACATCTAACTCTTGGTCTCGCATCATCTTGTTTAGTCTAGCAATTTTTATCATTAATTTGTGGAGACTCTTTTGAGAGAGTTTGACTAACGAAATATAGGTTGGCATAGCATGCGCATTCTTTGTTCTGAAGCATCCATAAAAACTATAAAAACATGGGACATCAGAAACATTGACGTAGTATCTTCGAGTTTGAATTTTTTATTAATGTGTCTTTAAATGTTGATATTGCTTATATTCTTCTAGTTTGATTAGAATTAATCTTGACAAAATTCTTTTAGAATGAAATTGATGGATTACAACAAACGATATGGATTACAAAATACCTAGTAATGGCGATTTATTTTAGTCGCTAGTAGGATGATTCATGGTAGGTATATGGAATAGGAGATGGAAATGGGATGGATGAATTGTTATTACAAATGAAAAAATTGATGAAGCATTTATCCATGCAAAACATTGTGAAGATATTTTACGAATTATTGAAGTTCCATTGATCTTCTTTGAAGATATTGTCAACCTTAGTGATTTATTAAGGTGCTATCTCATTTTGCAGCAATGAAACTATTAATTAAATGTCAAAGTAGTGTGAACTACTTGAAATTAAACAAATGAAGTATGCTAAACTAGAAGTAGGTACCCACATTAACTCCAGAAGCTTTAAGATGATGAGAATAGTCCTAAATAATTCACGTATCTTGTCATGCTTTTTAGTTCCGTTCTTCCAAATTATTGAGTGTGAATATTTTTTTTATTTGTTTTTTCTTTTTCTTTTTGCTTCAGGTTTGTTGTGTGATAGAAAAGTACGACTCAAACTTAAAAGAAAATTTTATAAGATGGTTGTGAGACTTGCAATATTTTATGGCACAAAATGTTGGCCATTAAAAGAGAAATATAATATTAAGTTAAGTGCTGATGAGATGAGGATGCTTAGGTGGATGAGTGGATTTATTCTTAGAGTCAGGATATGAAATGAGCATATCCGTGAAAAAGTTGGAGTAGCTCCAGTGACAGATAAGACTAGATAGAGTCGCCTTAGATGGTTTGGTCATGTAAAACGGTGGCCTTCCGATGACCCTGCTAGGAGAGTATATGTATTAGATTCGGCTTATATTAAGAAAGGTAGAGGTATACCTAAAAAGACTTGGTTATAAAATATTAGAAATGACTTTTCTTTATTAGATTTAAATGAGAATTTGACTCTTAACATGACGCAATGGAGAAAAAGGACGTAATGGGATAAAGGCTTGATGTTGTTGTTGTAAATGTATTTGATTTATTTCTAATGTAAGTCTTTTGTAAAAGTCTATAAATGCTTCCACACTTTGTACATAGTCTAGTTATAAATTTCAAAGCAATTTTTTCTACTTTTCTGCTAGAACCGTTTTAAGTAATAAGATTTTCAGTTTTTGAAGGATTAGTAGAAGCATTAGTAACTTTCCTACAAGAGGTTTTCCATGCCCAAAGATGCAACAATGATTGCAAAACCTTTGAAACCTTCTCAAGAACAACCTTTTGCCAATATGTATTATCCTGAGCAAGGTTGTTAAAACCTAACCGAACAACATACCAGAAGAAATAGAGGTTCAAAGTTCAACCAGGGTTGAATCAGATGATATAATAAATAATATTATTATTTAAAAAAAGTAATAAAATTAACACAATAATATGACAATCTAACCTGAAGCTTAAACATAAACCCATCCTATTATACATATGAAATATTCCAATTAAAAACAATTTGGAAGTTTAAAATCATACTTTACAAACAATATAATTCATATTTAATATAAAATTAGTTTACATTTATATTTTCAAGTTTAATATAAATAATTTATAATTTATGTTATATGTTTAAATATAATTTATACCTATGAAAAGTATACAAAATTTACATTATAAAATTATATCTATAAATTCATGTTATATTATTTATTATTAAAAAAATAGATAAAAATTAAAATAAATCAATTTTTATATCATATAATTAAATAAAATGAAAAAATAATTGATAAAAATTAAATATTATTTGCATTATTAAATTTTAATTAAAAAAATATATGTAGAAATATATAGTGTTGGTATAGTGAACTTGAGAACTTTATCTTGGTGTCTTAGTCTCACATCATCTAGACACCATATGTTAGTATTATTTTTGTTATAAAATTTTTTATTCACATGGGAAAAGAAGTCACATCAAGGATTAGCCTTAAGCCCTTATCTTTTTGCTTTAGTCATGGATGTTCTTACTAGACATTTGCAAGAAGATGGACCTTGGTGTATGCTTTTTACTGATGATACTGTTCTTGTTGATAAGACTAGAGAGGAAGTTGAAGATAAACTCGAATTATGGAGGTCATCCTTAGCTTCTAAAGGTTTTCTTTTGAGTAAATCTAAAGCCGAATACATGGAGTGTAATTTTAGTAGTAATAGATCTAGTGGGGGGTTTGTGACTTTGAGTGATCAAGTCATTAATATGTGTAGTTGTTTTAGATATATTGGGTCTATTGTTTATAGTGATGGTGAAATAGATGGGGTTATTATTAGTAAAATTCAAGTTGGATGATATAAGTGGAGGAATGCTTCGGTTTGTTATGTGATAAAAAAGTGCCACTCAAATTTAAGGGAAAAATTTATAAGATGGTGGTGACACATGCATTACTTTATGGCATAGAATGTTGGTCATTAAAAGAAAAGCATAATATTAAGTTGTGTTGTTGAGATGAGGATGCTCAGGTGGATGAGTGGATTTACTCTTAGAGAGGATACGAAACGAGCATATCCGTGTAAAGGTTGGAGTTGCTCCAGTGATAGATAAAATTAGAAAGAGTCGCCTTTGATGGTTTGGTCATGTGAAAAGGTGGCTTTCCAATGACCCTATTAGGAGAGTAGATGTATTAGATTTGACCTATGTTAAGAAAGATAGTGTAGGCCTAAAAAAACTTGGTTAGAAAATATTAGAAATGACATTTCTTTATTAGATTTAAATGAGAATTTGACCCTTAACAAAATACAATGGAGAAAAATGATTCATGTAGCTGACCCCATGTAATGGGATATAGGCTTTATGTTGTTGTTGTTTTTTCTTTTTAGTGATCCTTCTTTGATCTGATGGCTGCATTGCAGCATCAACGACATTAATTAGGAATTCACAGAATATAGTCATTGCCCTATTAATCTTCTTAAGATGCTGTTGGAATCGTGTTCTTATATTTCTACTACAGGTATGTAAAACCACCTATTTTCACACTTTGTGTTGGCAACGCCTGGGGGGAAGCATCTTTACTTTTGGCATCTGGTGCTATAGGAAACCGTGCTGCTTTACCTTCATCAACAATTATGATAAAGCAGGTAAAATTTTTTGTAGCAAATTGAAAAATTGTGTACTTATATTTCTTGTGATCACTTCTCACTTATCTGCTGAGTTTGATCTCTTGCTTTAAACTTGTTTATTTTATATTCAGTCAATATCTTTACTGATATGATACTTCTTCCTTTAAACGTGCAGCCAATTGCTAGGTTTCAAGGTCAAGCAACGGATGTGGACCTTGCAAGAAAAGAAATTAAAAATGTCAAAGCAGAATTGGTGAGAGTTACTAGTTTAATGGATGTGAAGTCAAGAAATTTTAGCTTAACTTTTTATTCCTGTGTTTATTTAGTTTGATACTTTCTTTATTTTTTGGCCTGAACACTTCTTCCATTAGGTCTGAATGATCTAATGTGTACTACTTTTGAGATATAAAGGGCTTGCAATGAGTTAATTTAATGGTTGTTCTGTGTCACCAATGATTATTGCACTCACTGTGTTTTTTAGTAGGCCTTGTAGTATTATTGAGTAATTTCTTACAAAGATGATATCCTGATTGTTGGGAAAATAGTGGTGTACTCAAGTACTTCAACCGAGGTATCTGGACATCTTTGACAATCCCGTGATACAATAGGAATATCAAGATACAAATGAGATTGTATGTACTAACAAAGAAAGATATTATGCACATTTTGTTATAAATATTATTTTTAGCCCTTTAAATCATGGATTATAAAGTTGTAGAATTTCTTCTATTTTGTTTAGACTATTTTATTTTTTTCTCTTCCTAGAACTGTCTCCAAATGCCATGTGTCAAATATTTTGTATTAATAAGAAATATTATTTTCTCTGGCTCATTTCCGGACATGCTAATAAAGCCCTAGGTTTTTTTTTTTTTTTTTTTTTTTTTTTTTTAATTTCTTAACATATCTCTGACATCCGCTGTTGTTGAGCTATATTCTTCTCACATCTCGGCCTTTCGTTGTTGTCGTCCTTTTTCCCTGGCCTTCATCGTTGTTGTCATTTCATGTCGACTTTCATTGCTGTTGCCGTTGTCTATCACATCTCATCCTTCATCTTTTTATGCATCTAGAATTTCATTGTCATCACTTGGGTCTTTCTTAGGTCACCATTGAATAAAATCCTCAACAGGGAGCTGTAAGACTCTTGTCTTCTTGACTTGTAGCATTGCTAGGTATTTCTTATAATCGGTAGTCCTTTTGTTGGATGTAAAAACTAAAATACTGAGATGATAGAGGGCTTCTTATCCGCCTCTTGAGTCGTTGATCTCTAGCTGCTGCCAATCAGCACAACTAGTTCACGAGTCATCACCTTCTCCCTATATTTCTTGAGAAGAACATCAACAACAGGCCCGAGTGGTCTCGTTGCTCATCATGACCATCTTTGCTTTCTGTTGTTGAACTAAAAACCATCGTCCATCTTTGTTTGTTGTTGTCTCCAATCTAGATCGCTGCCATCATCCTTAATTATACCCTCGGCACAGCTTCATTGACTCCAAGACCTCTTTAGCTCTGGCTTCTGCTCTCCATTGTCATTGCTTGATGTTCACTAGCGCTGCTGCTCACCATTGTTTAGTCACTTTTGCTATTTAGGAAAAATAAATGAAAATATCTCACAACAATATTTGAGACTCCACACTTAACCCCATTTCAATCAAAATGAGATTGATCAATCGAGAACTCTTCTAATGAATCTTGAAAAATCTTCAGGTACTTATTCATTGGTGCATTGGCATTCAAGTGAGTTTCTTATTTTTATTAAATTAAATGTCTCAGATAAAACTTTTGTCAACTCTTAGGTCATGAATTTGAGAGTTATCGATCATATGAATCAGTCATCATAGACATTTAGCATATGTATACTCAAGTAGTAGGAAAATTACTAAAGCCAATGATTTTTAACCATTATAGCTGGTCTAGGAGATGTTCTAATTAGTCTCTCACTTGTGCTAAAGAATGTTTAATGTGTTCCAAAGCTGTGCACTCAATAATTTTTTTCTCAAGAGTTGTATTGTAATGCCATCTTTTATCTTACTCTATATTTCATGATAAGGATTTGGGAAAGATGATTGGACGTGCTAAGGAATGGAGTACACTTTATTATTCTGAGATAAAACAATTAAAGTGATAACAATTGTAAATATCATTTGTGATATCTTTCTGAGCATTCTTTATCCAATAAAGATAAAGTATTGCTTTATCATCATATAGACTAGGACATCTATCATTTATCTTAAGATTGTGTTTCCTTCTACGTATAAGGGGCTTGATATTAAAAACTTTTATTGTGTGTGCGTAAATTTACAAAATGCAAACAGGTGCATTTTCCCACCTTCAATAAAAGAAATTTAGTTCCCTTTTATCTAATCCATAATGATATTTGTGGTCTTTCTATTGTTTATAATATTTCTAAAGCACGTTGATTGTATCATTTATTGAATGATTGTACTAGATTTTCTTGGATTTTTCTACTAAAAAATAAATTTGTTGAGTTGTCTTCTCATTCTTCATAACATAGTACAAAACTAGAGTGATGTCTAAATCAAACGATCTTGGCCAGATAATGCAAGGGATTATTTTAATCAGGTCTCGATTCTACTTTCAAAAGGAATGCATTACAACAAAATGAAATTGGTGAAAAGGAAAATGATCATTTCCTTTATGCAACGTTAGCATTTCTGTTTTAAAATAATGTACCTAAATGTTACTGGGGGAAGAAGAGGTTGAACCATAGGATGGATTACATTGTCCAGCTTAAATGAAAAGAAAAAAATACTTTTTTCTTCAAATGGGTGGTTAAGGGTGTAACAGGTTCCCTTGGCCTGGCTGGTCTCCATCAAAGTCTTCTCCAGCTTTCCGGCTCAGACATCTAGACTGCGCTGCGTCTCATAGTTCTCTCACGCTCCCATATTCATTTCCTTGCAATTCTGACAATCACACGCCTTATATGTTACCTTCTAGAATCTTGGATTACATGAGTTATATGAAAATGTTGTCCAATTTTATCCCATCCTAAGCACTTCAAGTCATTTGATTCTTAGGATTTTTAGGTGTGTAGCTTTTGCTCACATTCATAGGCCAATCAAAAAAAATATTGATCCAAAGGCTATCAAATGTGTTTTTGTGGCATATTTATTGTTAGAAATTAGAGGTTTGAGAAGAAAAGCTTAACTTAATTGCATAATCTCTTCCCTATTTATAAATCTATACAAGATATATCATTGAGGAAACAACAAATTACAGATTTAATGCATAAAATCTCTAATATATTCTTTCCTAAATTAGTTCTTTCATTATGGAAAGAATTAATTATCTCTGGCGTGATCCATGAGAGCTTCCTACGGATTGCTTTATGTAACCGTCGGATCCTTTGCACTAGGAACGGTTGGATTTCAACATTTATCAATTTAAAAGGGATATGAGTGTTACCCTCCACCTTTCAAGAGATTTTTATACATCAGCTAATATCACTTTTCATGAAAAAAAAAATCACATTTTTCTTCTCCTAATCTTCAAGGGGAGAATCATGGAAGCACGTAATAATTTATCTTTCAATGATCTTCCTTTATCATCAAAATTATTGCCTCCCAACTCTGAAGCTCCTATCTCTTTATCTTATCCTGTATGCATACCTCTTATTGGCCATAATGAACCTATCTTCACATCTCATGTGTTTTCTATTTGACTGTTTCTCTAGTTTGGAAAAATGTCATCCAGAGAAAAAATTTATTTCCTAAACATGCACCAGTTTGAAGATCTGACCCCATTCCTATTAATGAGGAAATATTTTCAATTTCTATTTTATGAATTGAATCACATATTCATTTGTGTAGCAATCCATATCATAATTTTCCCATTTCCATTAGGTAGGGAACCAGGGAATGTATCAAGCACCTTATATCCACCCACTTTCTTATGTGCTGTTAAAAGGTTTTCAACATCTCGTAGGAGTTTCCATATATTCATAAACATTATTCCTATCCCTACCATGTTATTCGAGGCTTTATTTAATAAAAATTAGAAAAACTATAAATGGAGACATGAAAGCCTTATAAAGGAACAAATCATGAGATTCAGTAAGTTTAACAGCAAAAAATGACTCCAAGGATGCAAATGAGTTTACATTGTGAAATACCAAGTACATGGATCACTAGGGAGCTATAAGGCAAATTTACTAGCTAAGGGTTATATTCATAGCTATGACATTGATTACTAAGAGATTTTTGTTCCAATTGCCAAGATGAATATTATGAGAGTTGTAAATTTTTAGAATTAATTACGGCTTGGAATTGCCAATTTGACGTTAGATGGTAGAAATTAATAAAACAATTGCTCCAAAATGGAAAAATTAGCATGGGAAATAGATTTCTAGTACTTTTGAAGGGAATTTCTTCAGCATCGCATGTCAAGAGTAAATCGCTACATAATCATCTATTGCACAGGCTATACCAAAATATAAGCGATAATTGGCTCTCAAATAGGGTAAAAATTCTCTTAATTTGGATACAAAAGCATCTAAAATGAGTAATCAACCCCTATTTATGAGGTAGATTGGAGCTCTGCCACAAGGATGATGTGCTATGGGTGTTGGTAGAGTGAGCGTTGAGGCTTTTTTAGATTATAGATATCCAATATTTCTTTAATTTCTCTCACATTCAATTCTTGTTTACTCACTCTTCCATGAATTCATTGTAATTACTTCACAGGTTGCATTGTATGCAAAACACATAGGGAAATCTCCCGAGCAGATTGAGCTAGACATCAGACGCCCAAAATACTTCAGTCCTAGTGAAGCTGTGGAGTATGGCATTATCGACAAGGCATGTATTATTGCCTTCACAAAATTTGCAGAAGTTTACTATTGCTTACTGCTTTCTGTTGCCGCAGGTGCTCTATAATGAAAGAGGCCAAGAAGACCGGAGTGTTGTTTCAGACCTCAAAAGGGCCCAGCTTATATGATTCTTGAACATGAACCTGAATCACAAAGGTTAGTTAATGATCCAATAGCCACTTGATGGATAGTTGTTTTATGCATGATTCCGCCTGAGCACAACTCTCTCAGCTCCTCCAAGCATTTAGTTGATTTCTCTCAGGCTAGGAAACTTTAGAAGGCTTCTGTACATTAGCTGGGAATGATTAAAATATTCATTTAGGCCCCTTTAATGCATTATTAACATTGTTTAATATTGGAATCTGAGATTCTGAAGTGCGAATTTTTTTCTTTTTTCATCTATTTCTGAAGGTCATTTTTAAACTGTCCATACTCCATCAAATCGCTTGAGTTTGATCATTTCTTACAAATTTATTTATTTAATGAGCCAAATACTCAGAAAAGAGATTGAGTACTTATTTTGGGCTTTTTATATGTTATATTACAAGAATTTCGACTAAGTTGCTAAATGAATCAAGCTGAGTTAAATTTTATCCATTTTATTTGTTTTCTTAGCATTCTCAAATAAGGCTTATGTGTGTGTGTGTATATATATATCATATAATTCCTAATATGATATAAGCCTCCAATTTTATTTCTATTTATTTTGTGAAGCTTGAATATCAATTAAAAATAAAATTTGGATTTAATTTATTCTCAATATTTTCATAGCTCTTTACCTTTGATTATATATATTCTCAATATTTATCTTTATCAAGATAAATATGGGAATAGGTAATTTTTTGTTTCTTGGTGTTCAAAGCAAAGGAGCAGCTCGTGTTGATCAAAATATTGAGTTGTTGAAGAACATAAATTATTTTTAGGCCATCAGCCATACAAATCAAACAAAAAAGGTGAATCTAATCAAGTAACCTTTATGCCAAATATTAACTTAAAATGAAGCACAATTTTTTCTGGAAGAAATGTATCCCAAAGTGTATTGTCAATTTCACTTTAATGGGAATCTTCTTAATAAGATTGGAGATGTTCGTATCATTGATGTCGTTAATGATTTAATTGAAGTTATTTATGACCACATTGAGAGGTGAAATGGAATGGAAAGGGAGAGTGGAGAACCTTTTCTTTTTCCAAAAATCTCCACATGAGTATTGCCACTACATCAGGATCTCATAATAGGTTGAGTTTGCTACAATCATCAATTATTAAAGACAGCATAGATATAATGGAGTTAGCAACCTTTATTTTTTTTTCGAAAAGGATTGGAGATTGAATGAGCCATTTTCCTTATAGATTTGTACTTTGCTTTCACCAACACTTTGAGGGAGAATATATGTTGAGAACCTTTATAAAGGATAGCATACGTAGCAATAATGAGAACAATAACTAAAGGTAAGTCAATACCATCTTTGGATTTCGGCCTGCAAGTTCTATCCTTAGAGATAAGGTACAAATTTTTAAGATTAGCATTTCCATTGTAGAGGAATCAAGAGTAGCAACTATCGATCTTCTTTATAATGGCTTTAGGCATGGGACATGCCCTAATCCAATAAGACATAGAGTTCTAAATGAAAGTTTTGATAAGTTGGTCTTTACTGCAAAAGATAGGGCTTTTGCTTTCCAACCCTTTAACATATGCTCTATTTGAAGGAGGGCTGATAATCTATAAGGTGTAGAGTTTTAGTAGAGATAGGAATGCTAAGATATTTGATGCTTGGTTCAACCATGTTGTGGTTGGTAAGTTGGGAGTGGTTGTTGGGATTGGCAGCCTTATGAGAGAGAAGGATATATAATTTTTATCATGGTTGGTGAAGAAGCCATCAAGGATCAGCTTTAAGCCCATATATTTTTGTTTTATTCATATATATTCTCAAATGTGTGCTTTTTGTTAATGATATTCTTCTTGTTGATAAGACTAGAGAGGGAGTTGAAGTTAAACTTGAATGATGGAAGTCAACCTTAGAGTCTAAAGGTTTTTGTTTGAGTGGATCTCAAATCGAATATATGTAGTGAAATTTTAGCTAGTAGTAATAGATCTAATGGGGGTTTGTGACTTTGGGTGATCAAGTCATTAATAAGAGTACATGTTTTAGATATCTTGTGTATATTGTTCAGAGTGATGTTGAAATAGATGACAATATTATTAGTATAATTCAAATTAGATGGTTGAAATGAAGGAATGCATCAGGATTGTTGTGTGATAGAAAAGTCTCTCTCAAACTTAAGAAAAAATTCTATGAGATGGTGGTAAGACCTGTAATGCTTTTATGGTGCACAATGTTGGCCATTAAAAGAGAAGTATAATTTTAAGTTAAGTGTTGCAGAGATGAGGATGCTCAGGTGGATGAGTGGCTTTACTCTTAGAGACAATATATGAAATTAGCATATACATGAAAAGGTTTGAGTAGCTATTGTGGAATATAAAATTAGAGAGAGTCACCTTAGATGGTTTGGTCACATAAAACGACAACCTTCTGATGACCCTATTAGGAAAGTAGATGTATTGGATTTAGCTTATGTTAATAAATGTAGAGGTAGACCTAAAAAGAATTGTTTAGAAAATTATTAGAAATGATCTTGTTTTATTAGATTTAAATGAGAATTTTACTCTTAACATAATAATGGAGAAAAAATATTCATGGTTTTTTTTAAGAGAAAAAGGATTCATGTAGCCAACCCCACATTGTTGGATAAAGGCTTGATGCTGTCGTTGTTGGTGATGGTAAAGAAGCCATAAGCATTCCCAAATTAAATAAGGATGTTGTTCATAATATTAAAATTACTTGAGGTAACATCACCAAAAAGTAAGTCATCAACATAGAAGAGGCAAGAAACTTGATAATGATTTATAGATATACCAAAGTACATATTATTGACAACTTTTGTGCCAAATAGGCTAGATAAGCTATGCATCACAATGCAAAAGAGATAAGGATAAAGTGGGCAACCATGTTTGAAACCCACTAAATAAAACTAAGCAGAGAATATAAGTGATGAAGCCGCTAATCTAGCTAATAAAAATAGGGGGAAAATATTTTTGTTCATTCTATTACAAACATAGTGGAGGAATGCATCAGGCTTATTGTGTGATAAAAAAGCACCTCTCAAACTTAAGGAAAAATTCTATAAGATGGTGGTGAGGCATGCAATGCTTTATGGAGTCTAATGTTGGTCATTAAAAGAGAAGCATAATACCAAATTAAGTGTGGCAGATATGAAGATGCTCAGGTGGATGAGTGGCTTTACATTTAGAGATAGGGTATAAAATGAGCATATATGTGAAAAGGTTGGAGTAGCTCTAGTAGAAGATAAGATTAGAGAGAGTCGTCTTAGATGATTTGGTCACATAAAACGACGGCCTTCCGATGACCCGATTAGGAAAGTAGATGTATTAAGTTTGACTTATGTTAATAAAGGTAGAGACAGACCTAAAAAGTCTTGGTTGGAAAATATTAGAAATGATCTTTCTTTATTAGATCTAAATGATAATTTCTAGAGGGTTGAGCCAATTAGAGATGGTTCCATGGGCACACCCCTAGTCCAAACTTGAGCAAATTTTCTAAGTGACATGCCGATCTTAAATTTGCCTCGACTCAATTGTTTAAATCCAAAACCAAAGGCTCTTTTCTTAGTTATATGTGATATTTTTAACTTCGGGTTTCAGAAGGGGGGAGAGAGGTAGCATGAATAAACAAGCCTATAATAGTTAGTGAAATGCTAGTAGAAACTCATAAATAAACATAGGAGAAATTACAAACTGAAAAGCAAGCTCACATGAGATCTTGTGATTCTATATATGAACAATATAACATGAGTACATTGATATATATAGGCTTTGAGTAATTGTTATGATATCCTATGTGGTGAGGATGATATTGAGTTGTTATTGTTGTTTGAGAAGGACAATTGAGTTCATGACTGCATGTGGTCTATTAATGTTAATAGTCCCTTTCAAACTATGGATTAGAATGGTTGAAGCTATAGTTTATCCCTGAGATAGTGAAATGTCAAGGAAGGGAGACTTTTGGTGAGGATGTCGTCGAGTTGATCAGTGGTTGAAATGTGGTGGATGATTAAGAATTTAGAGGTGATGTGATATCATACAAAATGGAGAACAATTTATATGTGTTTGGTGCTTTCCCTGAGGATTGGGTTATTAGATATGGAGATCGTAGAGGTATTGTGGCAAAAGATTTGTGTTAGAGTGGGGATGGGTATGTCAAGGTCCTGTAGGAGGTGATGAAGCCAGATGAGCTCGGAGGAGGCGGACGCTAGTGCTCGATCTTCAGCCTCTATGGATGACCAAGCTACTGTCTTTTGTTTATGAACTTTCCATAGTATAGGAGAGGTGCTGAGGAAGAAGCAATACCCCGTGATGGAGTGCCGATCGGTTATATTGCTGCCTCAATCTACATCTGTGTATACTGTGAGGTTCAAATGGCTTCTGTTGATGGTGAGGGTTAGATTGTTCATCCCCTTGAGATAGCACAGGGATATGTTTTGTTATCTGAAAATGCATTTCCGAGGGAGATTGTATTGATTGGCAAATTTGGTTAACAACAAAGGCTATAGCTAGACAAGTGAGGGTTAAATATTGGAGGGAGTCAACAATCTTGTAGTATATGGTGGGTTTAGAGAAGGGTGATAAATTGTCTGTAGTGGTTGGTTTGGAGGGAAGGAGAGTGGAGATGGGTTTGCAGTTGAGCATGTTGGCTTAATTTAGAAGTTGGAGTATATATGGTTGTTGGAGCAAAAGGTATCTGGTTAGGGTTTTGATGAATTGGGTGACAAGAAAAGTGGAAATGGGGCTGAGTTTTTTGTGCTAAATTTTGTTGTGGAGTTGCTGAATGAGGGTGGTGATAAAGTGGGGGTTATTTCCGGTGAGTAAGATATCATCAATGTAGATTAAGAGGTAGATGGTGATGTGGATGAGTTTGTATAGTAATATGGAAGGGTTGGCTGAGCTTGTCACGAAGCCAAGGTTGGTGAGTTGCTGGGAGAAGTTCGAGTACCATTGTCAGAGAGATTATTTTAAGCTGTATAGGCTTTTTGAAATTTGTATACATGGTTGGGATGTTATGAGTCCTTGAAGCCAGGAGGCTGATGCATATATATTATGTTCTCAAGGTTGCCATGGAGAAATGAATCTGAGATGTCTAGTTGGTGTATGGTCCAATCATGATGGAAGGCAAGAGTGGTACGAACTCGAATAGTGGGCATCTTGGCGACGAGACTAGACGTTTCCTCATAGTTGATGCCATATTCTTGAGTGTGAACTTGAGTGATGAGTCTGGCTTTGTATTTAGCTATGGAGATGTCAGAGTGTCATTTGATTTTGAAAGTCCAATGACATCCCAAGATGGGTTGGTTT